CATGGGACTTGGTATTACCAAAAGATGCCCTAAGTGATCTCCTGCCTTCCAGACATTATCTTCCTTACCGCCGTTGTGGAGAAGCAGTCAATTTTCTCCTGGTAGTCTGGATCAATCACCACTTCCTGCTTAATTCCTTTCTTAGCCTATTGACTTAAGGGCATCAGAAGTCCAAAGTGACAAGGGGAAGGGGTAGCTTCCAGTTCAATGGAATGTTTGTTGTGTCTCCTAGCAGAAGCACCCCCCTCCCCCACCTTCGCTGGAACCAAAACATCTAGGCCAGCAGAGCACAAAGTTGTGGGTGAAGAAAGCAAAAATTTTCCTAGTGGATCACCAGGAGTGTTAGTGAATGGAGCCATTCCCATGTCCACCTTGATTCCTGGACCTGTGAAACTGGCTATAGGAGAAACAGTACCATATAATGCATGCTGATTCAGACCATATTCTGCCTTCTGGAGGACCCTGCCCCAGTCCTCCAGGCTTTTGCCACCTAATTGGCACTATAACTGTGTCTTTAAAAGGCCATTTCACCATTCTATCAAAACAGTTGCTTCAGGATCCTGGGGATCATGGTAAGATCACTGAATTCCATGACCATGAGCCCACTGTCATATTTCTTTGGCTGTGAGGTGAGTTTCTGGATCAGAAGCAATCCTGGGTGAAATACCATGATGGTGGATAGGAATTCTCTTTAAATTCCTGGTTGATAGTTTTTCAGAAGTGTTATGTTCAGGAAAGGCAAATCCATAACCAGGGTAAGTGTCTATTGCTATAAAGACAAAGTTCTGTCCCCTCCATGATGGAAGTGGTCCAATATAGGCAACCTGTCACCAACCAGATTGCTGGCTGGTCACCCAGGGGAATAGTGCTATATCTGGGACTCAGTGTTGGTCTCTGCTGTTGGCAGATCTGGCACTCAGCAGCATTTGTAGCCAGGTTGGCCTTGGTGAGTGGAAGTTCATATTGTCACGCCCATGCATAACCTCAATCTTTGCCCCCATGGCCACTTTGTTCATGGTCCCACGGGGCAGTGATAGGGATAACTGGAGAAAGAAACTGACTGTCCACAGAATGGGTCATCCAATCTGCTTGATTATTGAACTGGTCCTCTGCTGAAATCACCTTTTGACGAGCATTTACGTGAGGCATAACTATCTTCACAGCCTTTGCCTATCTGGAGAGATCTATCCACATACTTCTTCCTCAGATGTCTTTCTCACCAATTTTCCAGTCACGCTCCTTCCAAGTCCCTGACCATCCAGCCAAACAATGGGCTATAGACCATGAATCAGTATATAATCCCACTTTCGGTCAAAATGTACAACCCTGTGCATTGCCCGAAGTTCTGCCCACAGTGAAGACATTCCTCCACCAGTGTCCTTCAGGGTTGTTCCAGAAACTGGCCATAATGTTCAGCTGTCTGCTTCTCGGTGGTGACTGCACAACATGTAGACCCATTCATGAACCAAGCCCTAGTCTTCCCTTCCTCAGTCAACCAACCGTAGACCACACCCCAGGAAGTCATAGGTGCATACTTGAGAACAGAAAGCTTAGTAACAGGAGTAGGAACCATAGGCATTTGGGCAACTTCATGTAACCTGTGACCTCAGGGCCTGCTCTGGTCCCATCACATATATACCACTTTCCTTTGATAATGGATTTCTGCTGTGCATGTTGTACTTTATGGCTTGGTGGATCAGATAACAGCATATTGTAACAGGTAGCTCAGGTAGCATGATAACTCTGTGGCCCGCTGTAAAACATTCGGTTTCCACTAAGGCACATTATCAGACTAAGAGCTCCCAAATCCCAAGGGCTTCCACTGTTAATCCTCTATGGGGTCCTGCCAGAGACTCTAAACAGCATCTTTATCTGCCACTGACTCCTCAAGCAACATTTCTTCTTTCCTGCAAAGCAGCCTGGACCTGTTGCAGAGTCTTTTCCTGTTCCAGGCACCATTCAAAGCTAACTGCCTTCTCAGTCACTTGATATATGAGTCATAGTAACACAACCAGGTGAGGAATATGCTGCTCCAGAATCCAAAAAGGCCCACTAAGTGTTGTGCTTCTTTCTTGGTGGAAGGAGGGGCCAGGTGCAACAACTTATCTTTTACCTGGTAAGGAATGTCTCTGTGTGCTCCACATCACTGAGGTAGAAGGCCCTTGAATTTTGGTTGGATGTATTTTCCATCCTCTCGTGTGCATACACTTTACCACCAAGTCCAGAGAGGTTGCTACTTCCTGATCACTGTATCCAATCAGCATAATGTCAATAATATAGTGGACCAGTGTGATATTTTATGGGAGACAGATGATCAAGATCTCTTTGACCTGATAACACAAGGCTGGCGAATTAACATACCCCTGAGGTGGAATATTAAAGGTGTATCACTGGCCTTGCCAGCTGAAAGGAAATTGCTTCCGGTGGTCCTTATGGATGAGAATTGAGAAGAAAGCATTTGCCAGATCAGTGGCTACATACCAGGCTATTGGTTTTTTTTTTTTTGGTCTTTTTGAGACAGGGTCTCCCTGTAGCCCCAGCTGTCCTGGAACTCACTGTGTAGACCAGGCTGGCCTTGAACTCTCAGAGATCCACCTGCCTCTGCCTCCCGAGTGCTAGGATTAAAGGCGTGTGCCACCATGCCTGGCCATACCAGGTTATTGATAGCAGGTTCCAGGTGATGTATTAATCTGCTCAAGCAGGAAACCACATCTGGCACAGGAGCTGTAATTGGAATCACTACTTGATTAAGGTTTTAATAGTCAACACTCTCTATAATCCATCTTTTTTTGCACAGGTCAGATAGGAGAGGTTAAGGAAATTGTGGTGCAAACCACCACAATTTCAAGTCCTTGATGGTACACTAATTTCTGTTATCCCTCCAGGATATAAAATTGGTTTTGGTTCACTATTTTCCCTGGTAGAGGCAATGACAATGGTTTCCATTTGGCCTTTCCAAGCATAATTGGTCTCACTCCACAGGTCATGGAACCAATGTGGGGATTCTGCCAACTCTAAGTAGATCTATCCCAATTACACATTCTGAAACTGGGGAAATAAATGCAGGATGAGTTTCGAGACCCACTGTGAGTCAGACTTCAGTCAAAATGCCATTTATCACCTGACCTCCATAAGCTTCTACTTTAGAGGGCCACCGTGATTTTAATTGTCTCCTGTTATCAGTGTCAACTCAGAACCAATATACCATAGGTTTCTGAAAGTCTGATTATTTCCTTTTACCCAATGTACAGTTACCCTAGTAAAAAGCCACAGGTCCCTCTGGGGAAGGATGGAAGGCCAACAATATAATTCTTTGGTATTACGACAAGGTCCTTTCTCAAGGGAACCTGACCTTTTCTTTATTCAAGGGGTTCTGAGTTTGTAAACAGGCTCAAATCTGGAAAGTGGTTGACTGGATGGGATTCCATTGCTACACTCTAATGAAGACCCTGTCATTTGTTCTAGAGCTTTTCTGCTTACACAGATCAAATAAAAACTGAGTAGGCTTCCCATGATTGATTAGGAAATACCAAAGGTTCATTCAGGTCATACCATTATAGACACTGTTTTTCCTTTGATTGCTGCCCATTATGATAACTATGCTCTCCTTACCTTTGGCAATTCAAGGCCACCATCTGACCCCTACTCCAAGGACCTGTTAAGCCCATTACATTTAATTCATGCAACTGAGCAGTGGCTTCTACTTGAAGGTCATGCCTTGAGTTCCTGCCATATCAACCCTCAATGATCACTGCAAGTTGTAAACCCTGTAAGCTGTAAACCCTTTCTCCTCGAATTGATTAGTCAGTGTTTTGTTAAAGCAACAGAAATCAACCTTGGATAAGGCCTGACTCCTGTTTCAGACTGCCAATTTTAATAAATTTCATAGCCCCCATTATCTGTGTTCCTTTTCAAACGTGCAGTGGTAATACTTTGTTAGGAGAATTTCCTGTATTCTTTTTTTTTTTTTTTGTCTTTTTGAGACAGGGTCTCCCTGTAGCCCCAGGTGTCCTGGAACTCACTATGTAGATAAGGCTAGCCTTGACCTCACAAAGATCTTCCTGCCTCTGCCTCCCAAGTGCTGGGATTAAAGGCGTGCACCACCATGCCTGGAAATTTCCTGTATTCTTTACATTTACAGAGCTACTCATCTACACCTATGCCAAAGTCAACAAATGGTATTATAAAGCTTTCCCACATTTCTTAATTTCATACTTTTTTACATGGATGTATTCTCTACATACAGAGAGCATTGTGCTACAAAGATGTCCAACAATCTTAAACCCAGATATTCAACACCAATCTGTTCACCAGTGTTGAGTGGGGTCAGGTTTATGAAATTTTCTTATGTTCTTTACATTTCTCAGTCTCCTCACCTGAAGACACTGTCTGCTGATAACTTAGAAATAGCTACAGTAAGCATTCATATACTTTTATACAATTTTTTCATCCACAAGAACCATGATGTCGGGTGGGGTATGCCTTGCAAGGATAAAGATTTCCTACAATATGTAAATACAAAAGGAATCTGCCATTTTTGAATTCTCTATGTCCAATGAGGTGGGACTTGCAGGAGAAAGCTTTCTTTCATTTTATACAATGATAGGACTTCTTAATTTTATGTGTTCTCTAATGCTCAATAAGATGTGACTTGAGAGAAAAGATCTCCTATATTCAGTATATTCAATGGATGTTCATCCATATGAATTTTACAATGTTGAGTGAGATGTAATTTGCTGTAGTAGGGCTTTCAACATTGTTTTGTTTATAGGAGTTCACACCTGTATGAGACACTTTATACATAACAAGTAGAGACTTTCTATTCTTAGAGGATTTCCACTCAGTTTTTTTTTGTCTTTTTGAGACAGGGTCTCCCTGTAGCCCCAGCTGTCCTGGAACTCACTATGTAGACCAGGCTGGCCTTGAGCTCAAAGATATACACCTGCCTCTGCCTCCCAAGTGCTGGGATTAAAGGTGTGGGCCACCATGCCCAGTGCCACTCAGTTATTCTTTATAGGGCTTGCATCTATATGAATTCTTTGATGCACCCTCAGAGTAGATATTTGGCAGAAGAATTTTCCACACTGTGTACATTCATATGGCTTCTCCACTGTATGAGTTCTTTGATGCACAGTGAGGTAAGACTTCATGGAGAAGAATTTTCCAGTGTTTACATCTATAGAGCTTTGTTCCTGTATGAGTTCTTTGATGGACAATGAGGTGAGACTTTGCAGAGAAGGTTTTCCACACTGTTTACATTCATAGGGCTTTTCTCCTATATGAATTCTTTGATGAGTAGTGAGATAATCCTTCCTGGAGAAGGCTTTTCCACACTGTGCGCATTGATAGGGCTTCTCTCCTGTATGATTTTGTTGATGGACAGTGAGTTTATTCTTCCTGGAGAAGGCTTTTCCACAGTGTATAGATTCATAGGGCTTCTTTCCTGGATCAGTTCTTCAATGTACAGTTTCTTCATGCACCCAGAGAAGAGACATGTGACCAAAGGCTTTTCCACAAGGCTCACATTTGTAAGGCTTCTCACCTGTATAAATGAACTGATCTTGTGTGCATGGTGAGTTTCAGTAGAAAACATTTCCACCTTCTGTACATTCATAGAACTTCTCACCTATATGAGTTGTCTGATGGACACTGAGTTGTGACTTGAAGAACATATTCTGGCATTCTTTTTGCTTAAAGGATATCTCCATTTGTGGTACCTTTGACACTGATTGCAATGTGATTTATAATTGACACATTTTTTGAGTCAGACATCTGATTCCTGCTGTGGTATGACTTCTGGTATGTATCCTTTTCCTTCTTAGGACATTCTCTGGATTTTCTGTCATGCTATTAACTCTTCCTGGAGAGAGAATAATTGGTTGTATGTGCCTTTCCTGACATGTGTTTTCTACTATTGGGTATGTGTGACATCCTCAATCACTTTCTAGATATCAGTGACTCCAAAGTGTGCCAATTTGGATAGACTGGATTATCCAGGTTCCTCTTGCTACATCTTCCAAGTTCTGGGTGTAGTTGCATGCTAAATTGGCTGGCATTATGCAGGGGTGCTGGTTATCAACCTCATTCAAGCATTTTTTTTTTGACTAACCCTATCCCCAGCCCTCTGTGAAATTCTAGAGGAAACATTCCAGAAGGGATTCTACTCTTTGTTTACAGGCTTTAAATTTGTCAAGAGTCCACATTATATATTTTACTCACATTAACAATGTCCCCAGGGGATTTCTTCCTGTTCATGATTCCATCTTGCCACAAATGTCTTTTGTCATTTTTATGGATAGTCTCCATTTTGGCAGGAACTTTATCAGGATCAAAAGTGAACTTATAAATATCATTTTCCATCAATCACCCTTAAGTCACTTTTATGCAACACAAATATTATGTCATTTTTATGCTTATTAATCTTCATGGAAGCTGTAAATTAATGCTGAATTATTATTTTTTGTTTCTTTCATTCAGGGTCTCTGTGTATAGTCTTGGCTGGCCTGGAACTTACTATGTAGATCAGGCTGGCTTTGAATTCAAAGAGTTTTGCCTGACTCTGATTCCTAATTCTGGGTTTAAAGACATGGAAGACTACACCCTGCCTAATCCTGACTATGACAAGAATATATACTGTAGTCCTTTATGACTAAATATAACAACTTACATTATTATATATTTCAGTGAGAAGTCAGGTCTATTTATTACTTGTTTTACTCTATTGAAACATTTGGAGATAAATGAACACATTTGTTAGTTTCTACCTGGTAATTTTTTTTCTTTTGGTCTGTTTTGAGACAGGGTCTCCCTGTACCTCCAGTTGGCCTGGAATTCACTATGTAGACCAGGCTGGCTTTACATAGTAATTTTTATCTGATACCCCCTTGGTTCATTTACCTATTATAATAACTAAAAATTATCACTTTACATCATAACACTTTCACATGTGAGATATGAAAATTTCTTTCAATTAGATTTAAGGTTTTGTGATCATAAATGTTCTCCCTTCTACACTGGCTAGGGAAAGAATTAACAACCGAATGTTGCAGTCTGTTTGCCTCAGGATGAAATGTTTCAAATTTTAAGTTAAAAAAAAAATAAAGGGCTGGGCATGGTGGCACACCCTTTAATCCCAGCACTCAGGAGGCAGAGGCAGGCAGATCTCTGTGAATTCAAGGCCAGCCTGGTCTACATAGTGAGTTCCAGGACTGCTGGTGGCACACAGCTTTCATCCCAGTACTCAGGAGGCAGAGGCAGGAGGATTTTTGTGAGCTCGAGGTCAGCCTGGTCTATATAGTGAGTTCCAGGCCAGCTGGGGCTACAAGGAAACCCTGTCTCAGAAAAAAGGTGGGGAGGGACCAGGTGTGGTGGCGCACACCTTTAATGGTGGCAGAGGCAGGCAGATCTCTGAGTTGAAGGCTAGTTTGGCCTACATAGCAAGTTCCAGGCCAGCTGGAGCTACAGGTAGATCCTGTCTCAAAAAGATCAAAAAATAAAAATAAATTAAAAAATAAAATAAAGTAAAACAAGAACAGAGTCAGTGAGACAGCATAACAGGAAAAGGTTCAAGCCTGAAAACCTAACTATGATAGAGCGTACGAAAAGAAGAGAACCAACTCCATAAAGTTGTACTCTGGCTTATACATATTTGTATGGGAGGACAATCCCTAATATGTCACACACATGCAGACACACAAAAATAATAATAAAATTTTGAGAAATACAAAGTAAAAAATAGAAGCAAAATAAAAGGAATGTGTTAAAGTGGGAGAGTAAAGAGTAAGAGATAGAATCTGTGACATGAGGAAAGTGAAATTAAATAAGCATAAAAGAATAAAAATACACTTTGGTAAAGAACAGGGTATGAAAATCTACAGTTGGATGGGAGCTTAGTGCTGTCAGTGCATTGTGCAGCTAACCACGCAGAGAGAGCAATCTGCTCACTCAACATTCAGTGTTCAAATTCTCTGAACTGATCCAGCGGCAAGGAGTCTCATTCTGTGTCACAGAAGGTGCAACATCCAAGCACTCCATCCTCCAATTCCCTACCTCTTCATTTTCTAAGTGATTACACATTGGACCCTTTTGGTTTTCAGGTCTCCCTTGTAGATGTCTACCACAGAGAAACGCTGTCAATGTGTCCACAGCCCCCAGATTTATACTATTCCCTGTTGTCATATCTATGGAGGGTGCGGAAATGGTACTGCACGATATGTGGACAAAAACAATCACTTTGTTCTTCAAAGCAAGCGTAGAAAAAAATCACTCTACACAACTGAGACTGCAAAGATCCAAGGTTGGGTTTGGGTGCAGGTCTGTTGAAAGAGTGACTGCTGAGCATGGACAAAGCTCTTGGTTTGATCCTCAGAACCACAGAAAATGAGGGGTGGTGGCACATGCCTAAACACCAAAAATTTGTGAGGTACAACGAGAAGAATAAAACGTTTCAAGGTTATCCTTGACTACTTAGTAATTAGCTTGAGCAAACCCAGATGACATGAGACTCTGCACATTTCAATTCCAAAATCAGAACATAGGGTTTTGGGCAGTCATGAATGTCGCCTTGTTGGCAGCCTGGCATTTTGGACTCTGTATGCTCTGAGTGACATGTTGGCTTTGGCTTTTGCTCCTACCTGAGTCATGAGGTTTGCACTGTGGACTGTTCCCTACTTTTCTCCCCATTATCTTTTGAATTTCCTGTTTTTAAGCCGTCTTGATATTTCTTTCTTCATCTCCAGGAATCTTCCCCTCCATCTCTCCTTCAACTATATTATCTCCTTTGTTAACCTTTATTTTCCCATCCATGTAAATACATGGAAAAGCTTCCAGTTTGCCCTCTCACCCTGGAAATCATGATACTCTACTCATTTTCTTAAATTCCACAGTAGATGCAGTAAGAACTGTATTAACTACTCTCCAGGCTACAGATTTTTCAAATCTGCATCTACACTTTAACTTCAGTCACTATCAGTCTTCAATTATATCCACCCATGTATTGTAGCCAAATTTGGAAAAGTCATCCCAATTTGAAGTAAATGAATATTCCCTTCATAGTGAAATAACTTAAAGCTTTTCCTAAAATACAGCTGCATATATGTTTTTCCTCTCCCCTGATAAACATTCTTGTGGCCCTTATCTGACTAGAATACATCTCTGCTTATTTTTATGTTATGGAATGTAATTATATTAAGGGAAGAGGTATTGTTTGATTACTACTGGTATCACAATTAAAAGACCACAGTTGCTAAGATCATCAGGTATTCAAGGTTGGATAAACAGGTTGACAAAGGACTGATAAAAAAATCTGTGATATAAAACAAGAGAGGGGGACAACTGAGAATTCAGGTAAACATTCAAACCAATGAAATTACCTCACCATCTGGGTGCAGGGAAAACACCTTTAGTTACAATAAGGGGGAGGTGGAGGCAGGAGAACATGACTTCAAGGCCAGCCTCAGCTCTCTGGCAAGTTTGAGACCACCTTGGGTTACATAAAACTGTCTCAAAAAGCCAAAAAGGAACTGTCTCAAATCTACACAGGGTTTGAATTTTTAGCAATATAATTCAGAAAAAAACCTCAAAGAGATGAGTTGATCTGGATAACTCCCAAGGAACTGCAAAAATCAAGTGTCTGACCCACCACATCAGCTGTCATCTGGAAACCATGGTAAGAAGCGTTCAACGTGACCAATATTTAATGGCCTAGCTTCTTGCTGACCTCCCTTGCTCAGGATGTATTCACTGACCTGGGAGGCTCTGGACAGATGCTTCTGCCACATTCTATGGCCCAAATCCATGCTCTAACTTCAAGATTAAATCAGGTTTGGTCATGCAATGCCCTGTGAGAAATGAAATACAAATTATGACAGAGTGCTAAGTCAAACCCACCAGTGAAGAACAACTATTCTGACTAAGGTACTGTGCTTTGATCACTAAACCAGAAATGTTCCTTAGGGTTTATTTCACAGTCCTCACTGGAACATTTACAGCAAGTGGCTTAAAATAGCATGATACATGCACAAAATTAATGATTTTAAAAAAATGTAGAAAGAGACAAAAGACAATAAAATTAGAAAAACACAAGATATTTAGTACAAATTGAACAAGAGAGTGTGATCATAAAAATGAACCTGACAAAAATTTCACAGTTGACAAAAACAATGCAGAAAAACCTGCTAAAACATACTAGTTTTGAGGAAAAAAATGTATGAACACAGAAATTTGTTAATTTAAACGAATCCAGGTAGAGTATGGAAAGGATGTATCTTTTTTTTTTTTTTGAGACAGGGTCTCCCTGTAGTCCCAGCTGTCCTGGAACTCACTATGTAGACCTTGCTGGCCTTGAACTCACAGAAATCTGCCTGCCTCTGCCTCCTGAGTACTGGGATTAAAGGCGTGCGCCACCACCCCTGGCCTGGGATATA